TTGGAGATCCCTCAACTGCCAAGTCACAAATGCTTAGGTATGGTCATTGTTTCTATGGTTTTACTACAACGTTTTTTAAAAAGTATACTAAGTACTAGAAAGTTAAAATCACCTCTTTTATGTTGCTTAGTGCAACTGCTTCCAATATTCTGCTTGTTTGGAACTTGAATGTGTTTTTCTCCAGGTATGTCCTCCATACTGCACCTAGAGCAATTCCCACTACAGGCCGTGGATCATCCGGTGTTGGTCTTACTGCTGCTGTAACAACTGATGCTGAAACAGGTATTTGATATTGCATTTATCCATATGTCAGTAAAGGTTTTTATGTCGTTATTAATAATGATGTAATAAATTGATGATTGACAGGTGACAGACATCTTGAAGCAGGAGCTATGGTACTTGCCGATAGGGGSGTGGTCTGTATTGAYGAGTTTGACAAGGTTAGTGACACCACTATAYTTTGWTTGGTTAATTCAATTATCAACTGGTTGGTTTACTGGTTTCTTGTTTCATCTAAGTGATCCAGGTTAGAATGTGGTTCCTGGAAATGCATGCAAAATCTCAAAATTCTCTGATAACTGTAGAAATACTTCCTTGCATTCAAGAATGTCTTCTTTTCAGATGAGTGACATTGACAGGACGGCAATTCATGAAGTCATGGAACAAGGTCGTGTGACTATTTCCAAAGCTGGCATTCATGCAAAGCTGAACGCCAGGTGTAGCGTCCTTGCTGCTGCAAACCCTGTGTATGGCAGAGTAAGTCCCTCAATTTGTGTTCTTCCATAGTTCAAACCCTTGTATTCTGCTAAACAGTCTCCTTCAGTGCACCAAGTTCCATCTTGCTATACACCCTTTTAATAAGTCTGAGATATTACGTTCTCCGCACTTGACGTCAAATTTATTCGTTTGAATTCCTTTTGTATTGCAAAAATTTCAAAAGAATAAATTTGACGTCAAGTGCGGAGAAAACAATACCTCGGGACTTATTAAAAGGGTGTATATTGTAAGTGAAAAAACCCTAGCATTGTGACCTTGAAGTTTGAAGTTTGTTGGGCTTCTTGTCACTCTCAAGCTCAATGAAGAGGTAGATTGTGATGGAGACTGGCTTAGGGCGAAGTTTGAAACAATCAATCAACTTCAATCAATCAACTTGGGCCTATATGAATACAATTTCATCAGTAGAAGCGATTTGCCTGAAAGTATATCTGAATTTCAACTCTTTAAAAAGAGTTTTTAAAACATTTGATACTAATAAGTCACAGAAAAGGCAAAAAATCCAATAAATAAGTTTTATGTTTCACTGGAAAATCTATTTAAATAATGATATCTAAAGTTAAAATAAAGAAAAAAAGAATTGATGATTTTTATAATGCTGTTTTTTTGTTGATGTAACTAGTATGATGAATACAAGAATCCCATGGACAACATTGGTATGCAAGACTCAYTGCTGTCTCGTTTTGACTTGCTCTTCATTGTATTAGATCAGGTATGTCATGWATGCTCTTTCTTTTATGATTATACCTTGAAAAGTTAAAGCAAAGTTATTGAGCAATAAGTTATTTTTAAAGGGAAGAGTCTAGAGCGAGGACCACTGCATATTTTCTTCTGTTATTTAGTGCTCTATATACATGTAGCCGTACTGTTTGATGATGTCATCACATACCAAAAGAAATGATCGCATGCTCATTAATAGCTGTTGTTGCAATGATTGAGCTCATGCTAGTTGTTGTCATTGTAAATATATACATGTACTACATGGCTTGCATTCTCTCGATGTAAGGAATCTTTCTATATTAAGAACAGTGAAGGATGGGCTACCTGTGTGATAAAGAACTTGGGGATGAACACTCAATAAGGCCAAAAGTCATTGCAAACATCCCATAATGCTTTGTTTCGCAGAAAAGGCAGTGAACTATTCCAAATGTGGTTTGATTATATTTTGATTCTATATTTGTTTTATTTTTGTCAAGATGGACCCAGATAACGACAGGAGAATATCTGAACATGTCTTGAGAATTCATCGCTACAGAAAACCAGGAGAGCAAGAAGGAGAAGGTCAGCCATGCATAATCTTTTCATTGGCATTGCTTTTATTTCTAGTACTGAAAGCACAGSTTAAATGTGACTATTCTAAACTTACAGCTCGCAGAGACCCTGGGATGCCAAAAACCTTACCCTATCCCAGGCCTAAAATTTCAAAAACCATGTCAGAAGAATTCCATAACCTATCCATTAAAAGATACAAAATTTGATACCTTAAACCAGGCTAAATCTAGAACCACTATTGCTTCCATCACTATTCCATGGTGAATCTATTTCTGTCTATGATTCAAACATTGGCAATGTTGCTATTTAAGCTATTTAGTGTAACAATACAGTACCACAACTTTAAATTAGTGTTGTGTAATACTCAGCACTGCCATTTGGAGAAGAGTCTGATGTGCTGGCCACAAATGATCCTGATGCAGAAGAAGAAGATGAAGACACACCTATCTATGAGAAGCATGATCCCATGTTGTACGGAGCCCAGAAATCCAAGAAAGACAAGCTTATTTCAATTGCATTCATGAAGAAATACATTCATGTCGCTAAAGGAATCAAGGTGATAAAACAATTCGAAATCTCAAATCTTAAATCTGTATTTGAAAAATTATTGATTGATAGTTAAGATTGAATATTGACAGAGATTTGCTCAAAGCAAACTCTGGGTTTAGATAGTACTATAAATCTCTGATAAGCACAATATATCATAATTATTTATTGTATCTTATGAGAGCTTTCTGTGTACAGGATTGTTTGTGGCATATTTTTTAGATTCTTTTCATGGATAAAGTATTATATTAATGATGATAATATGTGTTTTGACAATGTTGTTTTTGTTTTACAGCCTGCACTTTCTAAGGAAGCTGCAAATAAGATCTCAAAAGCTTATACTGAATTACGAGACCAGGAAAATRTATCCAATGATGGCAAGGCGAAGGTATATAACTAGTCTCTTTGTTTCTCTTTCTTTTCATTATTTCCCTTCCATYYGTTTTGKCTTTTCCACTKTTTATTCTTTTTCGTCCTTTCGCTTCTTTTATGCGMTCTACTTRATTATTCAATTTCSTTTTGCGTTTCCCTTCCATTGWTTTTGTYAATTTTTRWTTTCTCATCGCTAGTTTCAGTTTTCTTTCCCTAAATATCACATTGACTTCTTAGGACTAACTGCATTTTTCTTTCCATTAGACAACACCAGTTACAGCAAGAACACTAGAGACTTTGATTCGGTTGTCAACCGCTCATGCTAAAGCSAGAATGAGYAAAACAATAACAGCGGTAAGGTCCACGGYTTATCTGCATTATTWATGTCTCAATGTCATTGGCCAAGAGCATATCAATGACGTCATGAGTGTTTTGGCGAAGTGCATCATGGTACTAATGAATGTATCAAGGTAGCGGAATGTCTAATTAAAATTACGGAGTACAAAAGTTCTTCCGAAATTAAATGCTATCAGAAGTTCAGAATCTTTTAGAAGAACATTTTACATGTTCATATACATGATCCTTCATAACTGTTCATCACATTGCTTTTTTGGCAAATGTATCATTACCTTTTGCTCTCAGAAATATTTYAACGCGTAGTTGTTTTAAATAATTGTTGACATTACTCGTATTTATGTAAGTAACAGAAGTACTTCTGTGAAAACTTCGGTCTAGTAAAGTTGGTAATGTTTCAACTTCTTAATAAAGGTTTCTCTTCAAAAAGTTGCTATTTTATTGTTCAGTTCTTCATTTCTGACAGTGCTTGTTAAAATGTTTTACTGTCCTTGAGTTTCAATATATATTTCCTTGATTTCAGGACGATGCGGAAGCGGCAATTGACATGATATCATTTGCATACTTTCACAAGGTTAGAAACTATTAAAACTATAAAACATGAGAAATCATTGGTCAAATTTAGCATAATCTGAAGATCTATGCGTATTTTTAGTGGCTCCCACCCGACTAAATTTGTAATTTTCACCCTGTTGAATAGGTTGAAAGGCGAGTGAAAAAGAAACGAGACCAGGAGTCGGAAACTGAAGAAAGTGCCACCGAAGAAGAAGACGAGGAAGAGGAAGATAAGAGCCAAAGAAAAACCAGGAAATCCAAAACTAAAAAGCCAGCAAAGAAACAAAAGGTTCCTAGGAAGAAAGAGGGAGAGGAAGGTTATGATCCTTACGACTTTGAGGACGACGAAGACGAAACGCAAGAAGGTGCAAAAGTTGTTTGTGTATTTGATGTAGTGTTATTTCCAAGTATAACTGAAAAATCATCTTTTGAAACGTTTTTTTTTTTACGGTGTATCGTGTATATATTTGTCACGTTTCTATTAGACCACAAAACCAGCGTATACACCCTTTTAATAAGTCCCGAGGTATTACGTTCTCCGCACTTGACGTCAAATTTATTCTTTTGAATTCCTTTTGTATTGTAAAAATTTCNGAAAGAAGGAGAGGAAGGTTATGATCCTTACGACTTTGAGGACGACGAAGACGAAACGCAAGAAGGTGCAAAAGTTGTTTGTGTATTTGATGTAGTGTTATTTCCAAGTATTACTGAAAAATCATTTTGAAACGTTATTGTACGGTGTATCGTGTATAAATTTGTCACGTTTTTATTAGACCACATAATCAGCCTATACTTTGTATTAAAGTTGTGTAAAAAGATAAATTTAAAACCGTAAAAAAGTATGTGAAATAACTTACTGACGTTTCGGACGTTAATCCTTTGTATTAAAGGCCCAATTTGCACCATTATGATTTGCGCGCCTCTGTTGTTATGATTTACTGCAAAATACTTCCAGTATCCAAATATCGCCATAAAACGAATGTCAGATGGTTGAAAACTCTAATATTAGCGTTTAAAGTGCTTAGAAAAGTGAGATGGTCAAAGATTCGAAACGCACAGTACAGTTATAGACTTTCGGTAAACTGAAAATGGCCGCCTCCAGGCCCACAAAGCATAATGGTGCACACTGAGTTTTTAACGGTAGCTATCTCTTCATTTAATTAAAACTTGGCAACCAATGTCTCTCTGAGGATAGTTTTACGAAAGCTCGATAAAGTTGTATCCATACAGATTTTGTTTGGATTTTATCCATTGATTAAGGATTAATGAGGAAGATTGCGCAATTCGCCTTAGTACAAACCAGCCCATGAACTGTCCTTCTTGATCTAAATTTGTATTAATGTTTCCCTCTACAGAAGTTGTGGAGAAAATGAAAAAGCGTCGATCATCGAAGAGTGGTGATCAAAGTCAAAGTGAAGAGACCATGGATACCAGTGAAGCCTTACAACCTGGAATGGGCAGTATAACAGATGAACGGTAAGACCTCCTCATACAATGATTATAGTCGTCTGTCTGTCTGGTGAATGGGAGGGGGGATTGGGAACTAAGGTTTAAGTAAATACACGTAAGAATCTTGGGATCGTTTTGTGTTGAACTTGTCCGCAAGAAATCTCACGGAAAAACTTTTTTCGAAATTCCTTTTTACTTACTTGGACTGTGGAAGTTCGGCTATGTCAGAGTTTTACCAAACAAAGCTTGAGAATCTTTAAAAGACATGTTGCCAGTTCTCCCATTTTAGAAAATTCGTGTCAAGTGCAGGTTCCAACCAGAGATTTACGACATCAATTATTTCTAACAACATCCCTTCTCCCTGACGCAGACTCGAGAAATTCAAGGCATCTTTGGACAAAGCTTTTGGTGATTTGCATGTTCAGTCGCTACCACTGGACCAATTAAAGGCTTCCATCAATAAACAGAACAAAGGCGCTGAATTTGACGACAGCGAATTTGATGCAGCTCTTAGCATCATGCAAGAAGCTAATCAGATTTACGTGGCAAACGACAGCGTCTTCCTAATATAGACTTTTTCATTTTGTACAGTTACTAATCAACAGGAAACTCGCATGGTTGTGANGGAAATTTAGTAAAAGACAAAAGAATCCTTTGTCTTCTAAATTTCCCTCATGTTATTCATGAGGGAAATTCGAGTTTGTAAACCCCTCGGAAGACAATGGAATCCGAGGTGATCATGGTATTATTGTATTAAAGGTAGCTATCTCTTCATTTGGAATTAAAATTTGGCAACCAAGGCATACTAACTATGTCTAGTTGTATGAATGCTCGATAAAGTTATATCCATACAGATTTGTTTGGATTTTATCCCCTGAAAAAGGATTTATGTGGTATAGATAGCGCAAGTCGCCTTCGAAAAAAACAACCCCATTAACTGTCTCTAAAGCACTTCTTGATCTAAACTGTTCCTATTTCCCTCAACAGAAGTTGTTGAGAAAATGAAAAAGCGTCGTTCATCGAAGAGTGGTGATCAAAGTCAAAGTGAAGAGACTATGGATACCAGTGAAGCCTTACAACCTGGAATGGGCAGTATTACAGATGAACGGTAAGACCTCTTCATATAATGATTATAGTCGTCTGTCTGTCTGTCTGGTGAATGGGGAGGGGGGATTGGGAACTAAGGTTTTAAGTAAATACGCGTAAGAATGGACTTCTGAACCTATTACGTCACTACTTGATTTGCAATGCATTGCGGGATTAGTTTCTGTTGAAAACAAAAGAAATCTGCAATGTTTTGTCCCAAACATATCCTACAATGCATTGCGTTACAGTACATGACGTAAAAGCTTCACAGATCTATTTTTGGATCGTTTTGTGTTGAATTTGTCCGCAAGAAAATAAAAAGAAATGCGAATTCACCGAAAAACGTTTTTCGAAATTCGTATTTATTTATTTGGACTGTAAAAGTTCGACTTTCAGAGTTTTGTGTTGCCACACAAAGCTTGAGAATCTTTAAAAGACAAGTTGCCAGTTCTCCCATTTTAGAAAATTCGTGTCAAGTTCAGGTTCCAACCAGAGATTTACGACATCAATTATTTCTAACAACATCCCTTCTCCCTGACGCAGACTCGAGAAATTCAAGCCATCTTTGGACAAAGCTTTTGGTGATTTGCACGTTCAGTCGTTACCACTGGACCAACTAAAGGCTTCCATCAATAAACAGAACAAAGGCGCTGAATTTGACGACAGCGAATTTGATGCAGCTCTTAGCATCATGCAAGAAGCTAATCAGATTTACGTGGCAAACGACAGTGTCTTCCTAATTTAGACTTTTTCATTTTGTACAGTGTTACTAATCAACAGGAAAGTCGCATGGTTGTGACAGCAAAACAACGCTTGTACTATTGACTATAGACTCCTTGCAGTTCTTTCGAATGCATCTCCAACTGGAGAACAGAACAATGGATTGTTGTTTCCAAGATAGCAAAATCTTTTGTTTTGTTCTCCAGGAGCTGCGTTGACGTCATATGCAAGGGGTTTATTCTTAAAAATTCAGTCAAGGCGGGACCAACCAATCAATTTACACATAGAATCGAGGCTAAGCTCACTATTGCTGCAATTTTGAGAATAGTCAATAGACCTTTCTGAAATGCAAAATCATGGTGCATTGTGGTCTGTACCAACACCATATTTGGCCACAAGAACAAATGATTTTTGTAGCGAATCTATACCACAATGCAATGCGTAATTCTGTTTCAGAAAAGCGCTATACTCCTGAAAATGCAGTGTGTTCCAAAATGTTCTTGAAAATATAACAACAATATAACTGTTGAATTTTGATTACTAAATTTTGCAAAATAGTGCTAGTAGAACAAACGAGAAAACAAAATAGTGTTACTAATATTTCGCGGATATAACTGCTTGCGCTCGAAATTTAAATTATATCTGTATATTTCCCATGGTAACTTTGCATACTTTAAGTAAAAAAAAAAGAGAAAAACAAAAGAAGACATAATGAAGGCAAGTTATCAATATTTTTTGGTTACTCGACGAATAGGTATTTTGAAACAAAGGTTTAAGCACCAAATACTCCAAAACATATTGATCAATGTTTAATTTTGTCCCAAACATATTCTACAATGCATTGCGTATACGGTCTTCAGAGGTCTACAGATATCAGGGCAGCCTTGTGGATTCCGCTCCAATAGAATTTCTTTTCATAAAGTGTTTTTTTGTCAAAATACACTTGTCATTTGTCAATTCTAAATGTCCACTTGGTGTTTTTCATTATGAACATTGTATTTAACACCTTTGATACTTCCCACATGGTCAAATAAAGGTATTTTTCTGTATGATATATAAATAGAGTTAAACTGGGACATTAGAGAGTTTTAGATTCGTGTTTACGGCGAACGCCAAACGTCAAAACTGATCACGTGATCWCTGTTTTTCTGTATTAACGCTCCGTTCTTTCGCGATTGTGGATAAAATAAATCACTTTTTCGTGCATAAGCGCATCACTTTAGAAGCGTTTTTACTTTGTTTGAAATTTTGAGACAAAGCATAAAAGCCAATTTGACATTTGGCGTTGGCAGTAAACGTGAATCTAAAACTCTCTATTATCTGTGGTGGTGTGGGGTTTATACGGGTACTTAAAAACCTGTCGGTGAAAATTTTCTTTMTTGTCATTTTATAATTATGACTACTATTTACTGAACAAATTTAAAACAAATGCAATGTAATATAATTCATTGAAATTCTTGGAAAGTCAGTGACAGTAACAATGRCATTCGGCTGACAATGATATTGATTGGATTTCAAAGTTCTTTRGAATAGTTTCAGTTCCTTTTCCCAAATCCCATCAAGTTCTAATTGTCGGGCTTTAAGTTATTACATCACAAAATTCTGAATAAATAATGAGGCTGAAACAAAGACAAATCACTACGGTGGACGAGTTTTGAAAACGCGATGAAACACGTGCTAAATTGGCGTCATAAACCTTCTATTGTTTAGCCCTATGAATTCTGGTCGCCAGAGTGAGTGCATATCAAATATTAAATTGTACACCAACAATCTTCGATACATATTTTGTGTCTAAACTCATCGAAGTCCTTTTTAGGAGACTATAAAGGCAGGGCCGTAGCTAGTATTAAAGAGGCCAATCGAAACACGTTCCGTGTTTATTCGACTAGACGCTGTCTTYGGTCGGTACAAACCTAGCAGAGGAGACGATAAGTTTACTCAACTTTGCTAACAAAATCAAATTTWAAGTTATTTTTATCTCGTGTAATATGAAGCAAAATAAACATTTTGTTCTGAGTTTCTTCATTAACAGTTCCTGAAACAGTGGCACCATGACTTTTATTCAGCGTCCATTCAAATAAATCGGAAGGATTTTGTTTTTTCTACACGATCAAAATGACAGTGTCTTTAAGCATTGGTGTCTGCACCAAATGCAGATTCTTCTAACAGAAGTCCAGGATTTTCATAGCTGTTAGTGCTRACATTGGCGTAGGTATTCATTTTCTTAGTGTTTTCATAAGCTCCTGATCTGTTTGGATAATTACCAGTGTTCTGTACCGTTATGTCGTTGTTTACGTAGTTATTTCCCTTGATGAGGACATCTGTGATTAGTCTCTCATTGGCGACTTTGCGTTCGTTTTCTTCTATTTTGTTTTTTACATCTGGTATCTCTTGGTATTCAGGCTCAGATGATTCGTAGAGAGGATTACTGGCGCATTCAGCGTTTTTAAAGGTGCTCAATGGTACGAACGATCTTGTATTCTCTGTCTTTTGTACGTTCGGGTTGTTCTGGCACCTCCTGCAGCTGCATTAACATGAAAAATAATTGGTTGTGATGAATCCTCACTGATKTTTGCTCATGAGATGCTTAAGGCTTCTCTGATTGGCTGCGTCGTTTTTCACGACCTTGGTGACATTCTGTTGTCTTTGAGTGTCTTTTGTTTTAATAAACTAATTCGATTATATATTTGGATTCACTACACGTAGAGTGCAAACATCAAAATTATGAAAAATTTTAGCAATACTCCAGTTTCGAGATCTTTTTTGTGCAACCTTAACCTTGAAAGCATGTAATATATTCTTTTATTCAGCATATCCACAAAGACAATAAAAATGTATGCTTGATTGAATCTAAGCTTGCACAAAAGTCGAAAGTCGAAACTGGAGTATTGAATAGCAAGGGAAGTAAAGGGTTAGAGCTGGCTTTCTTTGATGTGGAGGATGAGCGGGAAAAGCGATTGGACACGAGTGGGAAGATGGGAGTCAAAGAGTTTGCTTGTGACAAAGAACTTACCAAAATATCGTGATAACACCAATAACAATGACAACAGCAACTACTGTTATCAGAATTATCGCCCATATTGGCATTTGTTCTTTCGAAGTACTTTTATCTAAATGAGCAGAGAGATATAAAAAAATGGTAAATGATAAATTATCCTACAAAACTGAAGAGATGTAATAAATTAATAAATGAAAATGAATAATTGGTACCTGTTTTGCTCTTGGTTACTGAAAAATAGAAAATTTGGTTAGAAAAGGCCTGCTACCCTATTATTAGCTATTGATTCTTGTGATAGAAGGACATGCTGATTGTTGAGCAACATATTTTTAATGAGTGTTTTTATAGATGATGTCCGCCAGCAATTATTTATGCACTTAAATGAAAAATGCAGCCAGTCTGCAGCGGTTCGTGTTTGCACTGCTCGAGAATTCTCCCAATCAAATTAGCCAGTGCAAACACAGTAAATATGATTTGATAAATAAATTCAGTTAGAGTTCGCGCGAAGAACAGTTTTGATAATCTTTTCGCCGTAAGAAAAGAAGTTGTTTGAGCTTGTTGTTTTGCGCCAAAGAGAGGCAGAATCGGGCAACAACCCCAAAATTTTCCTTTTGCAATGCCTTGAAAATAATTGTTTTGATGAAAAAAGGTTTAACACTGTTTTGCACCAAACACAACTGGCGTAGACATTTTGCGCGAATAATCACGTGAAGACAAAAGAAGAAATATGGTGATCAGTGCCACCAACATGCCTGCCGTAATATCAATTACGTCACACCAAAACATTCTATTGTTTTAACGCTGAGGATTATGGATACCAGAGGGGATCAGAGTGACTGCATATCAAATAAATGTAGACGAGCAATCATTGATATAAATGATGTACGATAAAATCGATACACTGAAGTTCTACTTTCGGAAAGAATATTAATAGGTCCAAATTTCGAGTCTTTCTGAGCATCTATCCACAATGTAAACATAAGTCATTATGCCATAGGGCAATTATGTAAAAACACTTACGTGCACATTGCTCCTTGTCAGTTGCACCAGTGGTGACTGTTATGTAGCCATCAGGACATGTAGTACATTTTATATTGCCTTCAGTTTCCTGATAATGTCCCTTTGGACAAGATATACAGTCTGACTCAGACTGATAGGTGCCAACAGGACAGGCAACTAAAACAAATAAAGTTAATATGTTTAATCATAAATTGGTAACATATTTAAAAAAAAATAGCATGGTTGTATAGTGTACACGAAATCGAAAAACACAGGCCTAATTAGAACTTTATGGAACATTGAACTTGTATAACTTACCAAGTTCACATGTACCATGAAGCTTAAAAACTCTTTGATGATCAAATTTAAGAACATTCTAGCTAATTAGAACTATTGTGTATATATGTCTTTTTCTTAAATAGCATTGCGCATGTCTTGGTCTAGATTTGTCGAAAATCTCTTTTTCTCTTGTAGCTAAATATGGTAGTATTTGCACTAGATTAGATTGCGCTATGATTTTGTATAGCAGAGAAGCTCTACTCGTATGCCCAAGCAAATCACTTACCACAACTTGAGTTGTCGTTGCTGCCGACGTAGCCATCCTTACAACGGTATGTCTTCGAAACAAGYGCCATTGAAGTCATGCGGGGCTTAATCGTCTTACCATCTACTTTAAGTACAAACGTCCCTACGGTCACAGCATACCTTACATGGAAAACAACCGCTTCTGCAGTTTCTGTCACAGTAGAGGCATAAGACGAATTGCCCCATTCTTTAAAAAGGATTTCAAACTCAACAGTAAGGTCTTCGGAAGACCGCTGTGTTCGTCTTGAACTGCATTTTGGGATGGAGAACTTGGCAATCTTACATTGGTTGTAAAAAAAGCACTGATGCTGTTCGGTATTTTTGATTGACTTGAGGAATGCGTCTTTAAAGCTTTTTTCTATTTTTTGGTATCCCTGTGTTGTTTGACAACTGGTCGCGTCCATCGGTAGGAGCAAAGAGTAGCCTTGTCTGATCTCCATTGGTTCTGCGATACCTAAAATATGTGAGAGAAGATTGTCAAACTTTCAAATTGTCTCTGTTCGTTTTCACTCTCTGTCTCTACTYTATGCCATTTAAAAACGTGTTTTTGAGCTTGAAACTAAAATAACATAKTATTCTACGTTCWACTTACTTAAACATCTAGGCAAAGYGGTCAATGTGRCCTGGTTATGGCTCCATTTCCAGTCAGTCTGTGGTCCACATGCAAATGATGTAATGGCGTTTTTCCTGAAGCTGTATTTCTCGTTGCACTTCAAATTTACCACGTGTTTTCCGGCGTAGCTTTCCTTCATGACTCGTCCATGTWGCAATTTGCCAAAAGGTGGACACTCTGCCATCAAAAGCAAGTATATTATATAGTTTTATGTACACGTTTATGATATCAAGTGACTGTGGGTTTYCGGCAAGAAAATACTCGTTTGGGAAATCATTCGCAATCCCATCGAGCGTATTGTTCGCCTAGAGCATCCAAACTCTAACAAAGTATAGATAAACGACCGACTGAAATTGTCCGGTGTTAATTTTGTTTGATATCCTGCGATGCGCACAGTATCTCCTCATTATTTTGAATGATTGCTGACTGAAGCGAAACTAGCCTTTATTGGTGAATAGGCCACTATGGGAATAAAATGATAACAACTTTCTGTTGTGTGTGGTTTATAGTACTAAATACCTTTGTCCTTCACGATTTGTTTGTGTTCACAGTTCGCTCCATAGTATTCTTTATCACAGTCACATCTGTATGAGGCAATGTCATCCACACATCGACCATTTTGGCAAGGGTTAGACAAGCAGTCGTTGATATTTAKATCACAGAGTTTGCCAGTAAACCCTTTTTTACATGTGCAGACCATTCTGAGACCGTCCTTGTAGCATGCGACATAATGAGAGCAGTTCTCTTTGCAGAGATCGAGGGCTAGAAATAAAATGGAAATTCATATTTGATCTCAAATATAGGTTTTTTTAAATCGAAGTCATCGTGATAGATGTTTGATTCTTGTGAATTCATTCTAGGGTCTGCTTGTGTTGCTTTTCAATGATGGGATCTTTTCTTACCTTTGCATTTAGTTGGGAATTTCTTMAAGACACCTGCTTTAGCTCCAGACATGAAAGAGAGCCATGGGTAGACGTTGCCCTCGAGGGGCCAGGAGCAGCTATGTGCAGCGTTCCACATGTAGTCCTCGTCTGGTGGTACTGGTATATGCCAGATATTTACCTGGTGGAGAACCCCGACGAATGCGTCTGTATCTGTGTAGCTCCTTGTCTTATGGGAATATTTTCTTCCCAAAATAACCTCGCCGCCTCCTTTTAACGGAGGACCTAAAGGCCGGCRAAAGAAGCTATGATTAGATTTTGCTTTTGAAGCTTTATTAGTGCTTCCCTGACACAACAGAAGGTTAGRGCAAGCTATCCTAACGTACCAGGGACAGAATAATGGCACTTAAAGGGATGTACTAAAAAGATCACAGACGAGATACAAAATAAGTAGAAGGATGCAGTGTCTGAAGGTTTGAGGGATCATCGTGAAAATGACTGGCTATCATCTTTGACCAAATGTCCAGTTAGATTCGTAAATACAACAAATGCATCTCAAATTAAAAGTGGAGATTGGCTGGTCAATAGCTGGATTTGTAAAGGTTCAGAAGACGGTTGACTTGCATGAAATATGTACCGTAATAAATGTTTATGTRCAAGTACTCTCACCATCAAATTGATTTGGTATCTTCCTGGCTCCAACTCTTTTTCCATCATAGTAAATGGAGAAATCTTTGTCGAATCTGCTCCAGCTTGCTCCTATGAAGTGCCATTTTCCATCGCTGATTTCCACCGAGCTTTCAAGCACGTCTTTYTGGATCATAATGCGAACATGTGTCTCATTGAATGAAATCTCCATCATKTCACTGGCATTTCCAGGAGATCTGTATGTTAGAATAGTCCCTCGCTTGAAGCGGACGTCTGGTTTAACCCATAATGCCATACTGAGTCTCATCATAGTGGGAACTTCGGAGGAGGGTGGGAGCTCTACTRCAGTGTCCGTTGCTCGACTTGGGAAAACCAGGTCAAAACTATCGCTCAAACCTGYATTTCATAAATACAACAAAYGCATCTCAAATTAAATGGAATGTTCATGGTAGAATGCGCAAACGAACCTATAATGYATTTTATAATATATAATATACTCTTTCTCGAAAACTATTATACTATTTATACTATAACGCTTTAGTTCTAGACTGAATGTAGCCAAKGATCTCAATTCAAATCCGGAAGGCAATCATGGACGTCATTAGAAATGTTAAGTGTGTCTCAGTATAGACCCCTGCAACTCGTGAGAATATTGCTCYATCTGTAGGACAAAAAATATAATCTTGTTCCCAAGTAAGTAGAGGTCTTTTAATTTATTTTGTCCTAGATTTAGCTGCCTTGATGGCATATGCAAGGTATATGGCAGTTTCTACACCGCTTATATCCCTGTGTGAGCTAGAACGTTTCTTGCTTTGTTAGCATGAGATTTTTAAGGCTTGTTCTATACTTACGAGTTTCACAGTTCTTCCCAGTGTGCGATGGTATACATTGACAGGTATAGTTGTTCAAACCATCAATGCAGTTGGAATGCATTGGACACGGTGATGACAGACAGTCGTCGATGTTGGTTTGACAWGTTGTACCAGAATAACCCGATTTGCAGGTGCATTTGAAGGATGTAGTGTTAAGCTCGATACAAATGCCACCATTTAAACATGGGTYGTTTAGACATGGGCTCTTGTTGATGTTGCACGTTGCGCCTCCATATCTAGATGTAAAAAAGGAGTTTATCAGCTTTCGAGTGTGACGAGTGAACATTCGAAAACTTATGAAAAGATAACAAGTAAGTATAACAAGGCGATTTATTATCATTGATAGGCCTGGATTAAAAGCCTMMYAGTCATGAYCTTCTGAAAATGTGCTTTACTTTCTTTAAATTTGGYATCTAACTAAGTTCTCATTTGATCATAAGAGGTGATAATAACTGCTAATGTCCATTTAGGTTTTCCTCACTGTTTCATTACACTCTCAATTCACGGACTAACACACATACATTTCTATGATTTCTAATGCAAACTATGTGTTCGACATTCTAACCCTAACTCTWGTACGCCATGCATTATATATTTTGGTGTCTAAACCATGAATACTTTTATCGTATCCYTTTTTTCTAATAATATACTGTACCTTTCCGGACATTTGCAACGAAAACCACCAAAGATGTCCTCGCATGTCCCATTGTTTTTACAGGGATCGTCTCGACATGAGCGYAGCTGYTGTTCACAGAACGTCCCATTGAAACCATCGTGACAAATGCAAAGATATTCATCAACCTTGTCYACACACGTCGCATTATTCTTGCATTTGTGATCTTTACAATCGTCTATATTAATACCACAYRATCTACCAGTAAACCCMTTCGTGCAAGAACAGTTGAATCCTCCAATCGTCTCATGRCACGTTCCRCCATTCTTACAAGGACCAGAGAAGCATTTTTGAACTTGAAGATCACATGTGGGACCGTAAAAACCATCGCTACATTTACATGCGAAACCTGTTGGAAGATTAATGCAAGTRCCATAGCTGCTGCAGTTTGAGGACAAGCAAWARTCARTGAAGTTTTCGCAGGTTTTCCCAAAGAAACCTTGAGGACATGTACATGTGTARTTGGMGACGAGGTCTGTACAGGTACCGTTGTTTTTACATGGGTTAATGGGCTTGCAGTCGTCGATATTCACTTGGCAGTTACGCCCTGTGAATCCTTCKGCACAGGAACACGTATARGACTGATTGTCCTGATATATGAAAATAGCATACTATTTTAGAAAGGGTACATTACAAMATACAATATAGGTACGTTTGCGCATTCCAACGTGACCATTTTCGTCACTTTTCTATTATAATTGATGTTTTTAACAATTACAGTCAACAATATAATTAGATCACGAGGTCGAGTTGACTATGACTTGGTAGTCCAAGAGTATCCATCAAACTAGAAGGCATTTTCTCGACATTGAATCASAATGCTTGTTTTGTGATAGCCCATAGTTTGGTGGTTACTAAATATGTACATATGTTTAATTATTGCGTGCTTTCTAATCAGTTTTCAACTGCAATGGCACTGACTCGTCCCCAGTCRTTCTCTCCTATCTCGCGCGCGAAAAGCTTTTCGAGACACTAGAAAAAAATGGCGCGAGAGGCGACTCGGGACGAGTCAGTCAATAAGGTATAAGCAACAAATGACTGATCTATTGATTGATTGATTCTGAGCAACACTTTTTGTGAAGTGTTATTTCTAATCTATAGGCTAACAAATGTCAATTTTTCAAGTCTATTTGACCTGACAAATACCTTTTTAAGGCAAGTTCCACCATTGAAGCAAGGAAAAGAGTCRCAAGGACTTGTCTTCACTTCGCAGTACTTTCCAGCAAAACCTGGATTGCACAGACACTGRTAAGTGTTGTTTCCATCCACGCATATGCTACCACCTACACAATCATTTCCAATGCAGTCGTCTATATTATGTGAGCAGTTGATACCAGAAAATCCTGGAAAACACGAACAGCGGTAACTTCCAACCAAATCTTCGCAATTGCCGTTAGAGCAGGGATTATTTTCACACTCGTTGATATCATAACTGCAGTTCTTGCCAGCATAACCGTTTGCACACAAGCATTGGAAGTCTGCTTCTTGATTTTGACACGTGCCGCCGTTCTGGCAAGGGTTTTGAGCRCAGTAATTGATTTTTATTTCACAGTCTTCTCCGGTAAATCCCTTTCTGCAGTAGCAGCTGTAGTCGTTCACTCCGTCGCGACATGTTCCATTRTTCTTACAAGGGTTGGACGCACACTCGTYCACATCAACCTAAAATAATAGTRTAACCAATTATAACCTTCAMGTTTGGARKTCATGAAATTGCATTGGTGATATTRACGATTCAGTAGTACTTGTAGTATGAAAAAAACGTCGACAATTAGGAAGAAGAACAAACAGGAAGAAAAAATGAAAAAAAGACAACAGAAGAAGAGAACACGGAGTGAAATAAGTGAAGATAAACGAGACTAATTCARAAAACAATGGCGTAAAATTAAAACAAAAATGAAAAAAAAAAATAAGTACAAGAACCAAAAGAATAAGAGAAAGACGAATTACTAAAAAAGCAAGAAGACGGAGAAGAAGACCGAGTTTTCGGAGAAGTTTAAGAAGACGAGAAGGAGAAGAAATATGACATYAAATCTTTTAACATTCATGAAGTAAAAAACACAATTCATGTTGGTATCTATGAAGGAGTATCTACCTCGCATTGCCGTCCTGAAAAGCCATCTAAACAACTGCAAATRTATTCATTTTGTAGGTTTTCACAGGTCCCATTGTTCAAACAAGGACTTGAAACACACTCATCAATGTCACTTTCACAAGCTTTGCCAGTAAATCCTAAGAACAACAGCAAAAACGTAAAAAATATATAATATTGTAATTCCGTCTGAAAGGAGACGAGGGAGGATTGGAGTTGCAGGCAGAGCAATTCAAAGAGTTTCTACTTTCTTGTCCTTAACTTCATTGTTTACACCTGAGGTGCAACATGTGTTAAGAAAATCTWAATAACTATTATCAGTTTTCCTCGTCATGTATACCATCACTCACTCACCGGGAACGCAGTTGCATTTGTAACTTCCCATCGTATTTATACAAGTTGCACCATTGGTGCATGGCTTAGAGGCACATTCATCAACATCGTTTTCGCAATTGTCTCCTTGAAATCCTGGGTGGCATACACATGAAAACGAACCCACTTCATCCTTGCAAGTTCCTCCATTTTTACAAGGATTTGACTGACACTCGTCAACCTCATGTTCGCAGAAGGTRCCGTTGAATCCGTTGACACAKGCGCATGAAAAATCACCAACTTCGTTGAAGCATGTAGCGTTGTTCTTACAAGGGCTGGACAAGCATTCRTTGATATCATGCTCRCAACTACTGCCTGTATAACCGTCTTGACAAGTGCATGTAAAGGTKTCTATCCCATCCTTACACCGGCCACCATTTTTGCACGGGTTAGGATTGCAATCGTCTATATTTTCTTGGCAAGTTGGACCGCGAAAACCTTTTGGACATTGGCACTGAAATGCATTCAACTGAAAGAGAATAAAATATATGCATTGACTTATCCGCCAGATATGTCAGAAAAGTGTTTCAACTAAGGCAGGAATGTATCCGAAAAACGTCTGAAGCGAGGAGGACACATTGTTTCCGACCGAGAATCCGAACAAACGTGACAGATCAGCAACAAATAATAATGGGATAAAGTTTAACAGTCTTTCAATTTTCTTCAATAACTTAAAGTTACCTTATCATGACATGTTCCGCCATTCAGACATGGATTGGGTAAACACTCATTTGTCTCTTTTTCACATCGCATTCCTTCATAACCAGCTTGGCAGAAGCACTGRTACCGACCAATCAGATCATGACACGTGGCATTATTCAAACAAGGGGYTTGTTCACACTCATTGATTTCCGTTTCGCACTTGCTTCCCATGAATCCTTTTGAGCAGTTACAYGAGAAACTGTTCAAAGCRTCTTGACAAGTGGCGTTGTTTTGGCAAGGAGCGCTCGCGCAGTCATCAATGTCTTCTTGACACTGTTTACCAGAGTAGCCAGATTGACAGACGCACGCGTAGTCTCCCACGAGATCAACGCAGGTTGATCCAGCTCGACAGGGGTTGGAAAGACATTCGTTGATCTCTGGAAATGTATGGTAATTAGATTTTGATATATTATCCAATGCTTAAGGGGGGGGGGGGGATTTCTAATTTTTTCAGAATATTATAGGCCCCCTTTTCGGTATTCATTTTATTTCAAGGCCCCCCTAATACTGCTCCATTTTTATTGGGATATTTTTTTATTAGGAGTCAGTCATAACATCATTAGCTGTTTTTGAATTATTTATATATGAAATATTTCAATTAGAATAAGATTCTTAACTTTCTTCTTCATCAGTGCCTTGTGGCAAGTAAGGCCTTAAGTTCGAATAATATGCAATAGCTTTACATGCTTTTGTGATCCAACTCCTTTATCTTACATTTATATTAAGTAGAACTAAGACACAAACACATTCAATAAACACGACTTTACTGCACTACTTCTATAGAATTATTACCTATGCAGGATGAAGCATTAGCACTGCCCTTCTGAAGTGTAACAGTTGTTCCTGGACACTGGAAACAATATTTCTCTTCACTCTTTGGCTGGTAGGACCTCTTGTCACACATTGTGCATGGCTGAAGACCAGTGCCTGAAAATGATCCTGGACTGCATGGCGCTATGTCATAAAAAGAGGAAATTTAATTCATTTAAGACATAATAAGCTTAACGACAAGGGAAAACGACGCGGGAAGRAAAAACTACAAATAAAGCGATTGGAGAAGTTTTTGATAAACCAGCAAGGCCAAGAAAATCTCAATACTCCATTTTACAGTTCCAAGCGTCATTTTGAAAGGTGAACCAAGCCTTTGTATGAAAGCGAGACAGGAGTTGAGCCTGCAGTGATAGATACCTTTTGTTCACACCTAAGACAATTATTCACAGGTATCTACCACTGCAAGCTCAATGTTTGTCTAGCTTTAATGCAAAGGCTCTGCTACCTTTCAAGATGACGCGTGGGACTGTAAAATGGAGTATTGAGGTGATGAAGAACTATTATTGGGGGGAGGCTTATTGGAGGGGGGAGGCATCTGTATCTATTAATTGTATTTGTAGTCCTACARCTATGACAGACTGGTTAACTTCTCTCAAAATTTATCGGAGGCAACTAACCTGAGCAATTTCCAGAGCTTTTGCTTCCCGGATTTTCAGTAGTTGTACCATTTTTGCAAGAAATACATTTCAACTGTCCAGGAAGAGGCTGGAATGAACCTTTGTCGCAAGGAATGCATGGCTCAAATCCAGTCGGAGATGAGTAACCAGGTCTACAGTATACTAAAAAACAGAGAAATCATAATCTTTGTGATATCCATAATAATGATAAACAATAGTGAATAAATACTTGATTTACGTTAAGATATTGGGAGTCGTTCCCGAGTCTCCCTAGCCAGTGGCTACTGTTATGCACCAGACACGCTTGCACTCACGACCACTACATTGAATATTTTCGAACAAAAACTCTTCACAGCTAGTTTCTGACTGAGGGAGGAAAACCAGCGTACCCCGGAGAAAAATAAACCCTTGAAGGAAGGAAGAGAACCAGCCGCTGGCACACAAACTCAATTAACTCATATGTACTCCCAGTCCAAGAACCGAACCGGGACCACAGCGGTGGTAGATGGACGATGTTCAAAAGCAGAAAATTAATTAATAGCTTGTAATAAGATAAGTGATCACATCAGTTACCCATGCAGTCGCTACTATTTTTGGATTTTTCTTCTTTAGTTGACGTCCCGGCTGGACATCGGATGCAAGCCTGTTTTTCCTCATTATCTTGATACCATCCTTTAGGACAGCTGAAGCACTTTCCTTGGGTTGCGTTATGGTAAGTACCAACAGGACAACCAACTGTTGACAATAAAACCAATGTTATGCATATTAAATGATCTTCCTTTGGTCATTCTCTTTTGTATTATAAAGAAGTTTGTCATTAAACAAAGAGCACTTCTTTTAGTATCATTGTTTTCACTACTTGGCCTGATAAACATCAACTAAGCCATACAATTTTGTATTTCGATGAAGAAACCATCTTCAAATATAACATTATTTCAAGTAATTTTCGATCCAACTTTGTTGCATAAATGCTAAGTGCATGTGCCCTCTTCAAAGTGGATGTGCTTGCTTTTTCAAGATTTGTCAGATGCTTTCTACCATCATTTGGTAGCTTTAGGAAGCTTTCCTGACTTACAAAACAAAAAACTAGTGTACTTACCACACTCGTTATTGACGAAAATTTGGCCTGAACTGCAAGTAAAAGTGGTCTTTGACAATGAAAGTGATCCATTTATTGGAGACAGGCGCTGACCGGTCACATTCATAACCAAACTTCCATTRTCTGCCATTTTTTTGATTTCTGCTGCGATTTCTTCAGTCAGTTTTGTAGCAGTCGCTATCTCGGCTTGTATTGTCTTCTTATCTTGCTGAAGTGAGCTGTTCGCCAGACCCACTGCAGATATAATTATTATGTGTTATGATATATACAATGCGTTTTTCTACCTCTCATATGCCAATTTGTACATGAGTGACAATTTATTCGGTATGAAGTAAGTCTTTCTAAAATTCACCGAATAGGATGATCGCTGTGAAACTTCAAACAAACACTACAAAGGGTTCACATTGATAAGCATAATGCTTAAAGTGCATATGACACGATTTTTTTTATTTGAAAAATAGAGTCAATAGAACAAGCATAACAGGTTGGCTAATTACSACTYGATGCAGGGCTTSAAATTTCAGAGAAAATCGGAGTTAAAAATCCATTATGCTAATTTGATGACGTCAATGTGTATTGCTTTAAAACATTTCAACTGTGTTTTGTAACAAGTGTTCCTAATATACCCATGTCAAACTTTGAAAGATTGTTTTTGATTACATAACAAATATCTTCTACAAAACAATAAGGTGACAATAAACAATCGGACAATTTTGTATAATTAATGAGTTACACTTTGACGTCATCAAATTAGCATAAAATCCATTTTTCTCTGAAATTAGAAGCCTGCATCCAGTGGCACTTTACAGAACTATTATTTTCTTCATATTGATTTTATTTTCAAAACAAAAAAAATCATGTCATATGCACTTTAATATATTTGATAGTGAAAGTCCGATTCAAAATAGATTTTATAACTGCAGATCAAAAATATTCAAAAATATTCAAATATATCATATATYATATATATATTTACCAGAAATGCTGAATGATATTCTTGTTATAAACTGATCAGGCGTCGATCGTTTTACCTTCTTGCTAGCATGATCTAGAATGATTAATATGGCATGAGTATATTATACAGTCAGGTCTATTAACTTTGTTCAGTTGTAAAGACATAAAGACAACAACAAAGTCATATGCATAAAACGGTTGATATTGTAAAKAAGTTTTGCAACTTTATGTTGAATATTCTTGTATAGAAATGTCGTAATAAAACTGATTATCGATAATGTGATGGACTGTATAACATCTTTCTATGTTTATATCTCATGTAATACAATACTCCATTGAAATAGTTTGTATTATAATTACCAGAAAGACCGAATACATTTGCCACAGACTGAGCCAGCGTCGTCGCTCTTCGTTTCCGGGCAGCAGCGCTAAAGTCGGGTTCTAGAATGATCAAATATGAAACAAAAGAAYTCAGGATTTGTTTCCAGTCGTGCTTAAAACGGCTTAAAACTAGGAAAATAATTTTACATTATGACAACGGAAGACAATTGCTGCAAAGTTTCAGCGGAGATTTAAAAGTGTGAATGCTTCGTTTGAAAAAACAAACAAAAACAAAATAACTTGCTTTCGATTTCTTGATGGTTTCGTTTACCTGTGTCACATTCCACATCCACATTAGTGACATTGCAACGATCTTTCAATTGAGGATCTGTGCAAATCACSTCGAAAAGGGAGTTTTTAACGATCCCTAGAAATTGTTTCTTAATCTGTAATTGTACTGTCTTGTTATGACAGTCTCCAGAAAAATAATGTAGTTGCCCGGCTTTTCTTGCTGTTCCAGGAACGTAAATGGCTGAAAATTAATGCAAAAGGACCATTGTCGTTACTCTCATAATTGTAAAATATTCTGAAAATCAACAGCCATAATATCAGAAGCACAACATTGATCAATTTATAGTGGCCTTGAGCACGGCTCCATCACTAAGTCAAGCAAAGGCGTGGCGGTTCATGCAAAACGTTGGTGGTTGGTGGTTGGTGGCACAGTCAAGAGAAAATTATTAAAYTTATAGATTAAGGGGTTACTGAGTCCCTAAAAAGGATCTTGTTTTTATCAAAAGTTAATACTCCTTAGCAGTTCCGCAAAATACTCAAAACATCAGTAAAACACACGTAGCCTATCATACTTCAGTAGCAGCAATGAGACAACTTACTCGCATAATTGTTATTAGCCGGGTTTTCATAAGTTGTTCTTTTCTTGTATTGCTTTTTATTTTTCAAAAATCAAGGATTACACAGATTAACAAAGATTTAAAATACAACATTGTAAACTACTATCCTTCTCGATCACCACGCACTACCTCCCAGGTAACCTAGCCTACACAGGTATACCACACGTATACACAGGTATACCACATCCCAACCTAACCTATTGTAAACAAAAAGTGTCCATAAGTGTCCTTAAACAAAAGAATGTCTTAACAGTAGAATATAACAGAAAGTTATATCACAACGTTCTAACATGCAATCATGTACTGTAGCATTTAGAAATACAAGTAATCATTGTCTTTCTTTGGTTTTGGATGTCTTGCTGAACGCCGTACATGTAAGTCCTCAGTGTCTTGTCGGACGTGTTCCTCAGGCAGTGACACAGGCTCTGCTCCGCCATCAGGTGTTGAAACATCACCTCTTATGGAGTCAAACTGCTGTGGTACATGCTCCTCTTGTCCCAGCCACTGCTCTGCCTCGTACTGTATTGGTGTGAATGAGCGAGATGGAACCTTCCTTAGGAACTTAGCATTTCGTATAACGTGTTTTCCACTGTTCACATGTACCAACTCAAAGGTATCACTTCCTTTCTGCATAAGAATGACATACTTGTCCCCACAGAAGTTTGGAGTAAGCTTCCCTTTGATCATATTGGCCACAAAAACGATGTCTCCAACTTTCACGTCATGAAGTTCAGCTCTTCTTCTCATATCGGCATAGGCTCGCATTTGTTCTTGATATAGTTTGTATCGTTCTTCAGGGATGACCCCTTTCTTCTCAGGCAATGCAGGTAGCTTTGTAGCTATCTCTCTGTTTAGCATAAGCCATGCTGGTGTCAACTTGGTCCCAGCATGTGGTGTTGATCTATACACCTGTAGGATATCTGGTAGAACATCCATCCATTTATAACCATCAATCTCAGCAGCTCTCAAGCCATGCTCCAGGTAGCGGTGAAATCGCTCCACCTGGCCATTCGCCTTCGGGTAGTATGGCGAGGTACGACTATGTTGAATTCCATTTGCTTTCAGGAAACTTTCAAACTCTTCAGAGACAAACTGTGGGCCATTGTCAGACACAAGCACCTTCGGGTTTCCAAATCGTGCAAAAATGTCAGTGAGTGCGGTGATTATCTTCTGACTTGTGATAGTCTTTAGGACTATTGCCTCTGGCCATTTGCTTCTATAGTCCACCAAGGTTAAGATGTATCTCTGTCCCGGGAAGGGGCCAACTAAATCAAGTGCACATTTCTCCCAGCACTGGCTCGGTAGAGGTGTCGGCTTACATGGTGTGTCTTTACGCARGGGTTGTAAACGCACACATGTCTCACAATTCCGGCAAAACGCTTCTATGTCTGAGTCCATTCCAGGCCAGAATAGGCTTGCACGCAGACGTTGTTTAGAGCKAACGATTCCTTGATGGGCCTCATGGGCTAGCTGAAGAGCCTTTGTTCTGAGCTTTTCTTGGTACAAATATACGACGAACACGCCATGTCAAGCCTTGAGCATATGTCACCTCATCCTTTAGCTGTTTCCATTGTTTCAAGCTCTCGTCAGCATAAGTCCATCCTTTTTCGATGGCAGTAATGATCCTCTGCAATTCTGCATCTTCCTTCCCAGCCTCTTGAATCTCTTCAATGGACAGAAGTGTATTGTCCCTTTTAACGAAATGTACATGTTYTTCCACAAAATTGGCTTTAATCGTTGAGGTTGTTGTAGGTAATCTCGACAATCCATCGGCAATATTTCCTGTTYCAGGTTCGTAGATCAGCTTAAAATCATAATCTTGAGCTCTTAAGGAGATTCTTTCTAAGCGGATTGACTGTGTGGGTTTCGTAAACACACCCAACAATGGCTTATGGTCTCTCGCTACAGTGATGTGACGACCATAGATATATGAGTGCATCTTCTGGAGTCCAAACAGAACAGCTAGAGCTTCTCGCTCAATCTGTGCATARCGTTTTTCAGCATCAGTCAAACTTCGAGATGCATATGCAACAGGGCGTAGGTGGTTGTCAGTTTCTTGTAGTAGCACACATCCCAGTCCAAAAGGACTGGCATCAACAACTAACTTAATTTCTGCTTCCATTGAGTAGTGAGCTAAGCATGGAGCTTTGCTTAACTGTTCATTAGCTTGGTCATAGGCAATTGTTTCTGCTGTTGTCCACTTCCACACTACCCCTTTCTGTGTTAACTTCCTTAAGGGAGCAATGATTGTAGCCAGATGAGGTAAGTACTGTGTCAAGTATGTAATACTACCAAGAAATGAGCGCAACTGGGCTTGATCCTTTGGAACGGGTGCATCAACAATTGCTTTCACCTTATCAGGATCCGGTCTCACCCCATTCGCAGAGATTATGTGTCCTAGGAACTTCAATTCAGACACACCCATGACACACTTCTTCTCGTTCAGCCTGAGTCCGTAGRCTCGCAAGGCATTTAGCATGGCTCGAAGGTTACTCCAGTGTTCTTCAGGAGTTGAACCGTACACGACGACATCATCAAAGTAATTCAGCACMCCAGTTAATCCCTCACACACAATGCTCATCACTTTTTGGTAGGCTTCTGGGGCTGATACCAACCCAAATGGCAACCTCTTAAACTGTTATACCTTCCTCACGGCCATGAAGGAGGCTATTTCTCTAGACTCCTCTGACAGGCGAACTTGCCAGTATGCTTTGCGAAGATCCAGTTGTTGAGAACATCTTTGTTCTATTGAGTTGACGAAGTAAATCTTGTATACGAGGTATTGGGAATCTCTCTCGTATCACAGCTTTGTTTGCCTCCCTGAGATCTATACAGATTCTCAGCTCCCCATTGCCTTTGTAGACGACATATACTGGTGATATATCCACGATGCTCCAGATGCTTCCTCAATCACATCTTCTATTATCATTCTCTCAATTTCTTCCTTCAGTCTTTCTTCAAGGGGCGCAGGCACTGGACGTTGCCTTTGGACCTTAGGRGGTACTTCATTGTTTATCTTGATGTCATATTCATAATCTTTAAATACTCCGAGCTCTTCCTTAAAAACATCAGCAAACTCCTGCAAAATATCCTCCCTTTCGCGGGATGGTCCCTCCCTTACAGCATGAATGTTAACAAGATTAAGTGCCTGAATGGCACTCCTCCCAAGTAATGCAGGACCATCAACATCGATTACAARCACTGGCTCCACTATCTCTTGGTGTTTACATCTCAGATTTGCATCAAATGTCCCAACACATCTTAGTTCTCCGCCTCCAAATGCAGTAAATTTGGCTGCTGATTGTTTAATAGGACATTTAATGTTTTCTGTCACCCATTTCTCTGGAACCAGAGTTCTCGCACAACCAGTGTCTATGATCATTTCTAAATGTTTACCATTAATTTCAGCATCAATAGTAAAGTTTATCCCTTCATCATTATTAGCAAAGTAAACATATTCATGACTATACTCATCTGTCTCGTCGCTTGTCTGCTCTACAGCCTTCACCTTGCTCTCCTTTTTCTCAGCACCAGATCTGCAGCATTTTGCATAATGGCCAACTCTTTTACATTTCCTGCACTCAGCAGCTTTAGCACGACATTTCTCGTCATTTGCTAAATGATCATCTCTTCCACAACGAAAACAGTTCTTTGTTTTGCTGTTGGAGTCTGGCAATGTTTTCTTGATTTGATGAACATCAGATTTCTCTTGTAAACTTGTAGTTTTCTCTCCTCCAAGCAGTACCGTATCTTTCTTAGCATGTTCAATCGCCCTTCCTAGGGTTTGTGCTTTCTCAAGTGTTAGGGTATCCCCTTGTTGTAGTAATTTTTTCACGTAAGTAACCATCATAGCACTTCTCAATCACTTGACCAAGAATGTTGTCGTTCACAGACACTCCAAAATCACACGAGAGACTCAAAACTCTCAGTTCTGCAATAAAATTATCCAAAGACTCATTTTCTTTCTGTGCTCGCTTTCTAAATTTGTATCTTTCAGCCCATTTATTCTTCTTCGGTTGGAAATGGGTCGTCAAGGCAGTTTTAACATCAGCATACTTCACTTTACTTCCAGGCAGTCCAGACAGCAATCGTTGCACTCCAGTCCCTGCTAAATGTAATAACGTCGCTCTTTGTACATCATCTTCTTCTTTGTTAAGTTTCGTCGCAATTCGATAGTTTTCAAACGCGTCCATCCAGTGTTTCCATTCATCGGCTAAATTCGTCGCTTCCAAATTGAGCGGTGGTAAATTAAACTTGTTAAAATTCATCTTACGTTCTTGCTTTTATCCTCGTCGCCAATTTGTAGTGTATTTACTTGCTCAAAAATCAAGGATTACACAGATTAACAAAGATTTAAAATACAACATTGTAAACTACTATCCTTCTCGATCACCACGCACTACCTCCCAGGTAACCTAGCCTACACAGGTATACCACACGTATACACAGGTATACCACAGGATCTTGTTTTTATCAAAAGTTAATACTCCTTAGCAGTTCCGCAAAATACTCAAAACATCAGTAAAACACACGTAGCCTATCATACTTCAGTAGCAGCAATCTTACTCGCATAATTGTTATTAGCCGGGTTTTCATAAGTTGTTCTTTTCTTGTATTGCTTTTTATTTTTCATATATGACGCAAAATTGCTCTGGTCTTTGTAAAAAAAAATACAACTACGGCATTATACTCACCCGAGCAGTCGGGTAGCCGAGCAGTTGGCATCCAAGTGCCTTTTGATCCACATACCCACATTGCTCCAACTGCAAGCTGTTTCTCGAAGTCATACTTATCATTGCAGAAAGGACTACAAAGAAATCCCAGCATCCACGCCGAGCAAGCTTTAGCTCCATTTTTGGGCACATTTAGAGGCGGACAAGGCTTTGCTGAATGGAAAACATTAACATTAGAAGTTCATCATTATTAAGGAACGATTCTTGGTGAGTAAATAGCCTGCGTGTAGCCGAAYTGAAACGTGAAAAAAGTGTGTTTCCGATGAGAGCATAGAACACAACTTCCTAGCAAAAGTTGTTATTTTTATAAAAGCATYAAAGGGTATTTTCCATTCTTTGTTAAAAAAAGTAGCGTTTATTTCTTTATTCAACACTTTTTCTTTTGTTCTTGCAAGCAATCACTAGCCTGAATAACAGCACCTCTTCGGACCATGTCGTTTATTTACTTTGGGATTATAAGTGACAAAAACCGAGGAGGCAGCTGATACTCAGGGCTAAGCAATCATGCACGTGAAGTGTATTAGTTAGGAGGAGCCGAAGGGTTCCTGGGAGAAATATATCTCTTCTTGTGTTCCAGGCMGCTGTAAGTCACAGCTGGCTGCCAGCGAGAAATTCAGGTTAATAGAACTCTCCAGGCAAGGACTACTTTCTAAGACTTTTTGACWGGAAAATAGAAATTTTCKAACTATATAAGCCTTTCTTTGACCYTAAATACGTTTGTCAAGAACAAAATTATTTTAAAGAAGGAAGGRCGCCAAATTTGCTTGTGAGATTGTCAACAATGTAGCTCAAATTCCCTTTCCCAGGAAAAATTTCGTGCAAGAACAGTTAATTAGAAGAACAGCCCCAGTCAGCTCCTCTTGATTARTGGTAATTATATAGTATCCGGATTGTAGATGCTATGAGCATACTCACGTGAGACGGTGACAGTGAAACTGCAGATTGCTGGTGCGTTRTTTGGATTGTTRTCGTAGCCCCTACAATGAACGTTCCACACTCCCCAGTAAAAAGTGTCTCCACTTCGGCGATTACATTTAGGAGTGACCTTGATATTGCTGTTGTCCAAAAACTCAGGTGATTTCCACGTAACTATTTCAGCCAATTTTGTGGCTGTCTTTGTTACATTTACTGGACAATAGACAACCCTTGGACCTAAATTGTCTGCGTCAAAAAAATATCCATTCATTACCCTGCTTAATAGAAATTAAGTGAACAAAGTTCTAAATTGTTTTCCTGAGTATGAACACATTCACACAGGAAAGAAATCAACTCCTACGGACACCGCGGTCTGAAGGACTACAACAGGCAATGGAGATGAAGGGGTTTATTAACTCGATCAGTGCTATTTGTTGCTATTTTCATTTAAAAATGAAGGCATAGCAATATCGAACAATGTTGTCAAATGTATAAAATGCTGTAAGATCTGCATACCTTCAACTAAGATCCTAAAMGAACACCTTCCAATGTTTCCTGAAGCATCTTTAGCCGTGTAAGTCACTGTGGTTGATTGATTGATTRAAAAAGGTGGTTGTGCATTTGATGGATCTACTGTCAGCGCTGGAAGGACGTTAGTGTTGTCTTCCGGCACAGGAACTGTCCAGTTTGCTGTTGCTCGACCATTGTATCCCAGAGAGACACGTATATCCATTGGACACGAATTCTTGAATTGTGGTGGAGTATGGTCTGAGAGACACGCGAAACATTTAAAAAKATATTTACTTTTCAAGAAGACAAAGAAAGACGAGGGTAACATCTTTACGAAAGGAAGAGTTGAAGGTACATRAAATCAACGAGGAAATGTCATAAGAAAGGTGTTTTAACATCTTTTAAACCAATAGGAAGAAAGTAGCACTGTGGAAGGGAAGGAGCAGGTGAACAGTGATGGGGAGAAGAAGCGGAAATWAAGCAAAATAAGTAATAATGCAAAAGAAAGCAAAAATGCACAATGACATTTACTGACATGTGAATGACTTGGTGTGCAAGCTTGACTTTACCAAAAATTGGCAAATCCTGTACAATATATAAGCAACTAATTTATTAAATACATATCTTAAGCTTACCTTCACAAGAAATGATAGTTGATACATTTTTGMTCCAGTTGGTGTCTTTACCACATGTAATGGTATTTATCCCTGGGCTCTGAGAAAACCCATTGTAACAACCAAAAAGACACGATGTRTCACTAACTGGCCCTTGGTTTCCTACACACATTGGTGGATAGACGTAACCATTCGCTGGTGTCTTTAAGGGACGRCAGCGGTTGACTAAAATCAAAGAAGGAGAAATTACAGATCTTGGAAAATTAGATTCAGAAGGGGMCGGACATGGSTCGATTCCTGCGTCMCGGCGCAATTGATGGCAGTGTCAGTTYGTAGCRGRGGCCTGTRGGCTGGTAAAGAACTAAGCACTGATTRTTTTGGTCTTCCGCCAAGCTATTGCATTGTGTCTAATTGTTTCAGATTCACATTATTTCGGTGATCAAAATAATTTAAGMAGGAATGTATTGGAATCTACTTAAACACTGTTCGGAAGTAAAACCTACCTGTGCAGAAAGGCATAGTACCACTCCAATATCCCTGGATTTGACCTKGAATGACCTCACAAGTACGTGAGCTAGACCCAGTCATATTGTATCCAGCATTGCATTTAAAGCGACACGTCGAGCCCCAGGTGTTTCCACAACTGCCCACYGCTCTTCCATTTGTGATGAAAGCTGGGTGTTGTAAGCAACGAAGAACTGAAAAAGKCAAAATTTCATGATAAATACTCGTGTGCTTCGAGTTAAAGGGTGAATGTATTTTCTCTGTTATCTGTTTATTAGGAATTCACTTATAATTTGGTCGATTTTGAAAGACAAATCAGAATTTCTACATAAAGTGTTCTTTTTAGTTTTTTCCTTTGAATTGGACTCTGATCTAAGCTAGATTTTGACAAACAATTGTGAGCTTTCATAGTAACTACTTCCTTGGGCGAAACAATCCCTAACAGAAATGAACAATTGTCAGATAAACAGATATGATTTAGATCCTTTCTCCGAAATGTTTGGTTTGGTTAGGAGAATTTAAATTCCCTGAGAAAAAGGTTTTAGAATCTGTTTTCTCTCTTGGGAAGAGTTGTTACTTCTGTATGTACTATAATCTTGCTGGAAACCACTTCTTACTTATATCTGCCTAGGACATAAGAACGGATATATTTCTCCAAGGAACCTTATGTCGTCTCCTGATAAATATCCATATGCCAGCACCAAGGTCATAAAAATACTTACTTTTCACATTTATGTAGAATCGGCATGCTTCCTTGTTTCCAGTTTGGTCTGTGGCCGAGATTAATATCTCGTGTCGTCCCGCTGAATAGTTCTGCTTCTGCCCACTCACTCTGATATCTGGTACCACCCCTGAGTTGTCAGTGGCTGTCATTGAAGGTATTTGCACCACAGCAAAATTCTCATTCTTTTGTGCAAACACATCAATATTGTGAGGACAAGATGCTGTGAATCTAGGTCTTTCTATATCTGCAAGAAACATATTCCAATAGAGTCGAAAAGGATATTCAATACTGTGACTCGTCTGATGGTAAAGACCATCAGTAAGTACCAGTCCAATCTCTAAAGGACAGACTCAAGTCATAGTACAATACTTACCCACTTATAAGTATCCACTTTTTCAAACTAGGCCTATGCGGGTTCTTATGTAAATGGTGCTTAGTGGAAATTTAGGCTACGTTCTTAAATAAGTTCTTATTTAATGAGAAATATATAATACTTCTGTGAATGGTAGAAATCTGGTATGTATATTAATGCCAAAACATGCCTGGCCTTTAGACAGTATGTGACCATATACCAAATTTAGAAGTGTATACATATTGAGGTCCACTTCCTTTGAGTCACGTTTTTTGCATGAAGATTTTTTTGGGGGGATAATTTTTAGATTAAGATCCTTTTTATTAGAACTTGTTTCAAATTTCAGGATTAATAGGTTCTTAAGTAAATGGGGTCTAAATTGATATTTTTAGGCTAACAGGTTCTTAAATTGCAGGTTCTTATAAGCGGGTATGTACTGTAAATATGAAAAGAATTTATTTTCAGGATGAAAATTGTTCTACCTAGACAGCTGACGTTGCTATTGTGATTCCATTCACCACTGGCCAAACATGTCTTTATGCTCAAACCATTCAGACGATAACCCGATGGGCATATGTATTGACATGTTACTTGGTATGTGGGAGTGCTGGTGCAAATACTTGGAATTATTGTTACTTGAGGTGTCTGGGGAAGTAATGCTGTACAGTTGATGGCTAGATGAAGAAAAAGACGTGTTAGTCAAGATCAGTCATTGCATTTTATCTGTGAATTCCATAAGAATATGTTCAGTGGATCTTGATAGTAGTAAAGCACTTTCAACCTTATGATTTTAATCATAAAAAAAGTCAACTTTGGTGATTGCTCTTTGTCCCACTGTCATTCTACTACTGGTGCGCAAATCAACAAAGTTTAGCTTTGTAGCCATCATGCATAGAATCGTCTACTGGCATATTTGCCAATTTTCTCAGTGCTTAAACAAAAAATTCAGAGATAAAAACCTTCACAAAGAAGTGGAGATCCTGTCCAGGTCGCGTTCTCAAGACATGTTCGACTGCTAGAGCCACTGAGTGGCTTGTACCCACGATTGCAATAAAATAGACAACTTTCACCAAATGAGTTTGTCAGACAACTCGACTTGTAGCCATGTTTTGGAGGATCAAGAGAAGGACATGTGATAGCTAGAAAATAAAACAAAAACTTCAATAAATTATTAACGTATCAAAGAATATCTCACTGAAAATTCAGATGTAAAAATGTTATTATATTTTCACAAGCATGGATCAGTTGAATCTAAAAAAGCTTTATTCAGATTTTTGTTCGAAAGCAATTTAATTTTCAGGACAGACCTTTGCAGTGCGTTGTATTTCCAGTCCACTGTCCCTTTAATTGGTTGCCATTCTTTTCACATGTTCTGACTGAAGATCCTTTTAAAGCATGGCCAATGTTACAGGAAAACGTACAACTTGATCCATACACGTTATCAAGCGAGCATTTAACGATGCCTCTCAGAGGGGCTGTTAATACCGGGCATTTGACGACTATTATGGAATAAAAGGAAGCGAGATTAGTTCTTGAAGTACGTGGAAATTGAACAAAATGATTGTGTTACCAAATGCAATGAGTCAGGAGGGTTGTGTAACGATGGTTTTTGGTTTACTAATGATTGTTTTACCAAATGGAATGAGCGAGAAGGATGGTTGTGAAATGTGTGTTGGTGGTGGTTGATGATGGTATATGGACGGCATTTTTTCCAATACCGCCACTCCTTAGTTTGCCTTTTAAGAGATACTTTCTAGAAGTTTCATTCCGAAAACAATGACGAAGCAACCTTTATTGCAAATACCTTCAACGATGACTTGGAATAAACACTGTGCTGTATTTCCAGATCGATCTCTTGCGACGTATCTGATTGTATGGTGACCAGCGCTAAACTCTTCTCCAGGGCTTTTACCGTGATGTATCACTGAGGGTTTTTCAGGTGCATTATCAGAAGCCGATGGAGTTGTCAAGTTTACCTTGACAGAGCGACTATGTCTGTCGGCCAGCGTTTTAGTGTCGTTTGGACACGTGTTCCCAAAGGATGGAACCGATATATCTTGAAGAAAAAAATGACATAGGTAAATATAAAAGAATCTTTCATGATTTCAACCTCTCAGAGCTCATTTACGGCGTATACACTGTCAAGATTGCTAATAGGACGTAATTCTAACACGTGGTTCTCAAGGAATGCTAGGAGCTGGGTTGTTTCTGGGTCTGGCATCCTCGGTACGCCGCTTTGGCAGGTAATATAATTAAATGCTGAGAGGAATTACGATATTCCTACCTCTACAGTAAGGGTTTCCTCCAGGAGACCACTGACCAGTAGCTGAACAAGTCTTGAGTGGAGGCCCAAGAAGAAGGTACCCGGATGCACACGTGTAACTACATTTATTGTTATACTGAGATATATTCTGAACACATGCAGGACTTGAAACTGTCAGGCCTTCGGATAACTGTGGCAATGCTGGACAGGTGATCACTAAGAAAACAAATTCAATCAATTTTGATAAATCCATCAATACATCCATCGGCCCATCTATCATTAAATAACCTATCAACAAATTTCAGGGGTCTTCCATAAAAATCTCCTTTTCTAACACTATAACTTTCTATCATTTCTATTTCAATCAGCAAATTACATGTACACAAACTTTCAATCAGTMAATCGTCATACAAAACTTTACCAACTATGGGGACTTTGGTCTAAACCATAGTTGTGGGGACATAAGTTTTAAAAAATGATTTCAAAATTATAAAGCCTTGGAAGGACTCGGGATTCAATCCTCTATAATTAGACACCTTGAATAGATGGAAAGCGAGTTTTCAAGTTTTTGGGACATTTTAATTTTGTGGGGACTTAACAAATAACTTGAAGTAGATGATCACCGACTTGTTGGAGTCAGTTTCATATAATTATTCAACCAGTCAGCTTCTTACTTTGACATTGCATTTCGTCACCAGTCCATCGACCATCCAATTTACAGATTCTTGTTTCGGATCCAATGTTGATCTTGTAGCCAGTAAGGCATTCAAAAGAACACAGGGTTTTGTAAGCGGGATTTGAATCATAGCATCCAACACCAGTCTTTTTAGCATTCTGTGGTGTGGGTAAGGACGGGCAGGTTATTTCTAAAAAAAAGTAAGAACATATATTCAAGAATTCTTCTAAATGAATTTGAAAAAAATTCGCAATTCTCATTGTATTATTTCCTCTGAACTTCAATTTCAATTTGCCATACGACCGACTTAGCTTGACTTGACCAAAGCACTTTTATTGGTCTAAGTTTTATTGGGATTGATATATAATTAAATGGAAAAAATCGAAATTCATTTTATAAACAATTTTGATAATGTTATTGAGCGTTATACTTACGCTCACACTTTGGCTCAGTCCCAGTCCACTTCCCATTGTCTCCGTCGCGTACGCATTCCCTCTGAACAGCGGCTGTTGTCAGATTGTAGCCRTCATTGCATTCATAGTTGCACTTTGATCCAGTTAGTCGTGAGCAAATATATGGAATGGTCCGTCCATTAGAAGGGGGAGAAATTGTGGGACATCGTATCACTAAATTAAGAAAATAAAGACAAAAGCGGAATGAAAATTTATATACACGACTGACAGCTTGAATTAAAAAAAAACAACAACAAAAAAAAAACAAAAAAAAAACAAAAAAACACGAAAGTAGGTGGGCACCGACCACCCCAGGCCCCTCCACTAAATCCGCCACTGGAGCTATAATTGTTAAATGATGTACATCGAAACTCGATATACTAATGTTCTACTTTTGGAAAAATGTTTATAGGTCCAAATTTCTTTCTGAGTATCTATTTGAATGTTAACATGCATACCGTGACGTCATTATGCCATAGGCCAATTATAAGTTTACTTTCAGCTAGAGGTCATTTGCACAACAAAACAAAAGAACGTAGAAGTTACTGTAGGATTGCTTTAAGAACATAGGTAAGCGCTATATATTAATTAACGTGTCTAACGTCGCTGACGTTTTTGCAAGTGTGTATACCATAGAAAAACAAACCTTTCACAGTTATCTTAAAGCTGCATTGTCTTGTATTCYCACTTGAATCTCTGGCTGTATACACAATATGGTGTGTTCCCTCTGAAAACTCATRAGAAGTCGCCTGAGGATTTAGGTAGCTTGGGTAAACGGTCATAGTAGGCACTGCTCCGTCATTGTCCTTTGCTTTGATGGCGGGCCAATTCACTGTTGCTTTTGTTTTCATTTTGTCAGCAATCTTAGTTATGTCCTCCGATGGGCAATTAGTGAATTGTGGCTTTACAAGATCTGAATTGACAATACATTTAGAATATAATTTTTTCTTACAGACTGATACAATTCTCTAATTATGAAATCATAGAAATTGCTAATTAAGCCAATAAAAAAGAAAGTATGGAGCCCTATAAAAAGCAGAACTGTTGCATDTACATTCGATGTTGTACATGATACCAATAGGTTAGAATTAGCAGTCCAAAACCCAACAGTAGTAGGGCTTACAGTTAACATTCTCAACTGTGGTCTAAGATTAATTGCAACACTTGAAAACCGTCTCTGAATACTGGAAGACTGTTGGTTATAACTTTTTTTTTAAATGCCCACCTCTACAAATGAAGCTCGATCCTGCTGTCCATTTCCCTTGATTTGAACAAGTTGTTTTGTGTGAATCCGTGGAATATCTCATAAGTGAGAAACCATCTTTACAGGAAACTGTGCAGGTCATGCCCGAGGGAGGGTTGGACAAACATCTTGGAGGATTGATGTTCATACGGTCCTGCTTAACGATGCTGCTGCATGTTATTTCTGGGGAAAATTTGAATATATATATTATATTTAATCAAAAGGGTTTCAAAATTACAATCTTTTATCATCATACTGGCACCATTCCTGTTACCTTCACATGTCGGTGGTGAACTTGGGTACCAATTCCCATAATTTCCACAGGTTGCCGAGGAGGATCCCTTCAAGCGATAGCCACTGTTACATTTCACAGTGCATTGAGTGTTTAAAGAAACAGAGTTGCCGTCTTGGCATTTGGAGGTCGTCTTCACTCCATTACTCGGCGCTCTCCAAGAAGATGTGGAGCATCGAATTTCTGTCAAAAAATTAACAATTTTGTCACCCAACCATGTGTGAAATGTCATATTAAACCTGTCTTATTTACAAATTGTACAATTTCTCATCTTCAATTCCTTTGATCGATATTCAATATGTCAATATCTAATATCAGCACTTCTTTCATGAAATTTCTGTAATCGAAAATGGAAAATGTTTGTAATCGCTTTTGTATTGATACCAACCTATACATGACGACCCAGAATTTGTATACCCACTATGGCAAAGGCAGAAAGGTCTGGCATTAGTCCTGTCGATACAAGTAGCGTGTTCACCACAATCTCCGTTGTTACAGCTGCATTCGTTGCAATCAAAGTATTCCCTGTTATTTCCATAGCATCCGTGTCCATCATGTTGCGGCGAAGGGTTGTTACAGTGTCTCTCTCGATACGACTTTCCCTCGCAATTGCAACTGTCAGGTGAAATATGTATAATCCAGGGGCCCCATCCTCCGTGAACTGGAAAATGTATATAAAAGTGATTAATGTTGAAAGTGTTGACACCCAATATTAATCCATGATATTTGTTTCTTACAAAAAACATTGTAACTTTATTCTTTAAATATACTTTTTGTATTTATGTTAATTCTTATACATTATTGCTGCGAACGAAGTGAGCAGCGACACTAATCTCGCAGGCCTTTTGGGGTCCCTGTGCCATACATACATACTGAAGGCGAAAGTCGATTTCGTGGGCTAGCGATAGACACTTCGAGCCTACAGTAAACATTACATAATCAGCGGTTATTATCAAATGATGCGCCGTAAACTGCATGGTCTTTCTATTGCTTTTCGATCTCTTGCAACGGCAAGTTCGACAAGTATTCAGCATGTTAAATGCGACTTTATTTATTCGAAGAAGTATTTATCAAGGTGATAATCGTTTTAGCGACATTTCTAGAGGAAGGCAATGTGCTTTTATGAGTCTTTCAGCTTAAGTTATCTGCACATTGTGATGATATTTCGACGTGGACGACAGATATGATGGATTGTGTTTTGGCCGAATGAGATCTTTTTAACAGCATTCGAGAAGCGCTCAATGCCTGATGAAGAGACTATTTCTCTGAATTATCTGCCAGGTCGAGTCCTTTKGTCTCCGATRRCATAACTTCCATCGCACATTTAGGCAAACCAGCCAAACCAATCGCCCGACGAGGCAAACAAATCAAAACAATCGCCCGACGAACAATCGCCCGAAAATAAATAAAAAATTAAAAAAATGCAGTCTGTAACAAAGTGTACATATACGTTCTAATATTCTTTCTTTTTGCCAAGTATTCTCCCTCMATAAAATCAAATAAACCTAAAACCAATGAACAAGCATCACAGAATTTACATATTGCAGCACTTCACTTTCGATAGGAACCGCTAGTATACATAACTATACTTGTACCATTAAAAAAGTATCTGATTAGGGCGATTTATCGCCGAAACATGTCAAAAATGAGGGCTGTAAAATATCAAATCCTACTGCTACGTCCTTTTATACAAAATTAAAATTCATGAGATTGAGCCTATGTTATTTACACTAGTTTTGAAGCCCAAATACTAATGAAAACCGGCAAGCATCAACAATCTTGATTGGAACTGATATTGATTTTTATGCTATCATTTTATATCTAGTGCACGTGACCCAAAAGGTTTTTGCAATTAAATAACTGTATGATGAAAAAAAAAATGATATATACAATTTTTCATGCTTTCCTCTTGTTTACTTGATTTCAAGTTCTCGCTACGCCCCTGCTCTAATGCCATTTAATCATTAAATATCACGTGACTCAAAACCCTAATCACCCCGTTCAACGTTGTTATGTCTCTGTGGTGATAGCTCCGTCGTGTCTTTAAGTAAGAATTCCTGTGATGGGACGACACTTTTATGGAGTTGATGTAATGAATGATCTCTCTGACAGTGACAGCAACTGGGTGATTGATTTGCGACCAGGCCTGCATATGAAYTCGCCAAGGTTGTAAGCCAGTGAGCCCGTGCATTTKTGTTAAGCGGTCATATYTGAAAGTGTAAATAAAGAAAAGGGAAAACCCACAGCTCGCCTTTCACTCAAATAAACAGTACAAGTCGTGTAAATTTATTTACATAACTATAGAATTAAACCTTCAAGAATTGAATGCTCATGTGAAACATTTTCCACCTTAAATACACACGTGTTTTTCAGAAGGGAATTTAATAGAACTTTTTTCACGATGGAATTTTGTTTTGAGTCGTTTCGACATCAACAGTCGCTATCAAGACATTACACAAAAGTTCTAGCTCTCGTTGTAAGGTCATAGCTAGTAAATGTGTAACTGACCTGTTAAAAAACGTCAAATCGTCGAGCACGCTTGCGGCTTWTTGCCGAAAATGCGACAAAGGATGRACTTCGACAGTTGTTTGTACCAAAAATCACAAACGCTTTATCTCTATTGGAATACGTGGAGCTAAGCTKCTCTACTTCTTCCAGTGATGTTGTAGATATCATAGACATCTAGTCTCTAAGTATTAAYTACATGACCTTTTAGGTCAAAATTTAGATTTCTATCGTTTTGAAGTCGTTGCAGAGAGCAGTCGAAAAGAATATCGTATTCTTTTATTTCATATGGGATTATCATTTTCAAGAACTTAAATTCGCATCGTAATAAAATATAACCTTTATAATATTGTAAAGCTGTTAAAACTACATAAACTGGTAAAGTTTCAACGTTATAGAGCCTTTCGTTTCGGAATTATTGACRATCAAACACGACGCGCTATAGTGAGAAATGTATGCCGAAAGCGTTCTGGTGGATATGTCGATACCACCAGCAAAATGTCCGAAACTTCAAAGACTAATAACTAGACCCTGCCAGCAGGGTGTACTCGTGACCTAAAGGTGTTGAAAAGTGCTAGCTTATTACACGTACCCTGCTATGCAGGGGGTACGTGTAGTAAAATGCTGTCACTTTCTTGGTTTGTGTTTGTG